GGTCCTCCAGCCTCTGATGATGGCCGGCGTTGCCAGCGCCCACACAACATCACCAACCTCCAGGTTGGCTCCACGGTCCACGGCCAGGGCGTCGGCGTCCGCATCCCGTCGTACAACGGCCCCATCGAGGACGTCACCTCCAACTCGATGGCCTGCAACGGCGCCCCCAACCCTACCTCTCCCACCAGCGTCATCCACACCGTCCAGGCCGGCCAGGACGTCACCGCCCTGTGGCGCTACATGCTCAGCACCACCGGCACCGGACCCGCCGACATTATGGACAGCACCCACAAGGGCCCCACGCTGGCCTACCTGAAGAAGGTGTCCAGCGCCACCTCCGACAGCGGCATCGGTGACGGCTGGTTCAAGATCCAGGAGGACGGCTTCACCAACGGCGTCTGGGGTACCGAGAAGGTCATCAACGGCCAGGGCAAGCACACTATCCGCATCCCCGAGTGCATCGCTCCCGGCCAGTATCTCCTCCGCGCCGAGATGATCGCCTTGCACGGCGCCGGCAGCTACCCCGGTGCTCAGTTCTACGTGAGTGAACACCCCCCCCCCCAAGCTCTTCAGGCACGCCGGAGTGTGTGTGTGAGCGAACTTTTGCTGACTTTTCTTTTCTCTCTCTCGCAGATGGAGTGCGCTCAGATCAACGTTGTCGGCGGCACCGGCACGGCCAACCCGGCCACTGTCAGCTTCCCCGGCGCCTACAAGGGCACCGACCCCGGAGTCCAGCTGAGCATCTACTACCCCCCCGTGACCAACTACATCATCCCCGGTCCCCGTCCCTTCACCTGCTCCGGCGGCGGTAAGTCACATTTTTTTGCAAGCCCGAGAACACCTCTCCCTGGACAAACGACCAGAACCAAAAGAACAAGACGCTGACCTTTGCTATCTCCCACAGGCTCCAGCCCTCCTCCCACCACACCTCCCCCTGCCACCACCGCCGCTCCCCCCACCCAGCCTCCTCCCGCCACGACTGCCGTTCCCCCTCCCGCCACTACCGCCGCGCCCCCGGCCACCGGCGGCGCCGCCCAGTGGGCGCAGTGCGGCGGCGTCGGCCACACCGGCCCCACCACCTGCGTCGCCCCCTACAAGTGCAACGTCGTCAACCAGTACTACTCCCAGTGCTACTAGACGAGCTTCAGCTGGAGAAGAAGAAGTCTGTCATAGAGAGGAAGTGAGGGGGCGGCATTTTCACTTTTTGCGGAGAAGAAGGATAACATCACCTTTGGGCCGGAGAGAACCTGGCATTCCTAGCATTGTGGGATAAGCGGTGTGTTTCTGCCCACCTATCTTACACGAAACAGGGGGGTTGAGGGCTGTTGCGGAGTGCGCAGCTCTCGCCTTCTCGTCGACGTTTCTCGGTATCATAGCCAACAATAAGAAGCTCATGATTCGGATGTCTTGACAGGAATGCATATCCTGTTGATGCGTGTTCTCCTGGCGCGCCTGTGGCTTGTCCTGGCTTGAATGTGACATGACTGCGGGATCTGCAGAAGTGGCGATACCGTCAAGGAGTTCTTGCAACGAGTGAAGAACGGCGACTGTTGGCCACTTGGGGGCCTCTAACCAAGTGGGATAATCGAAGCCCTCCTCCTCTAAGTATGGAATGCTGGTTCTATATATATATATGAGGTACTTCTTCACGACCCTCGGTCCCCTCCCTTCTTCATCAAGACCCTTTGGCAGACAGCTGGTGTCCCACAGCCGTCCCATGGCCGGTCAAGGGTTCTGACAGATACCCAGGGCGCCAATGGTTGCTCTTCTTGCACTGTGGGGAAGCCGTAGCAAGTCATATTGCAAGGGATCCGATCTCAAGTTTGAGGGCGCATGTAATTCCTGTACTGAGATGTAGCACGAAAACCTTATTAGGGCCCGCACAGGGGACCTATGACGAAGACGTTCACATATAACTAGTGATGCACAAGTCAAGCATGCAGAAACAACACAAATTAATGGCTACCAATGAGTTTTCCATCATCTCGATGCTGCCTTTGGTGCGTCTTTGATACTTCCCCAATCATGGGCTGAATTGAGACCAATTTGATATCCCAGTGCTTGTCCAGTCATGTTGTTGGATTGCTCATTCCTTCAAGTCTGTTTGAACGCATGGCCACATTGATCTAGGCGAATGCTTCGGGAGACACGAATCGCTCAGTATAGAGCTTCGCCATGCGCCGAATCTTGAGGTTGCATCGCTACCTGAACAACCCATCGGTCGAACCCCTCCTGGAGATGGATTTCCCAAAGTAGTGAGTGCACCGTTCTCAGAGCATTCCAGCCGAAAGTTCAAAGTCGGCCAACTTCAGTGCCAAGTGAAAATGTCTTGACGCTTCGCAGTAGTACATCACACAAGCTCGCATGAAATACGAAACATATCCCTTGCAATACTGGGTAGCTTTATCAGGCTCGCCTTGTCGATACGTCAGAAAGACAGGTGACGAGTTGTGCTAGTAGGGGGCCAGGGGCCTCAGATACCCCATGCGCGGAAGTCTGGATGGGTCATGTACGCAAGTCCTGAGTCAGTTAAGCTGCTGGTCAAGGCACTTCAGGGGGTAAGGTAGTATCACCGCGGTAAATCTGCAACTGCCTGATCATGAAGGCCGCCGCCCGCGAACTGCCTCTTTGCTGTTTCACAAATCTTGGCGATATTGCGAACCGCTCAGGATGACTACCTTTCATTCAGTGAACAAAAAAAAATCAGACTTCATTCTCGCTGGCTAACCTGCGTCGCTTTCGCTTTCAATGCTCCACGGCCATCGATCTGCCGAGTCGGGAGGCCCACCCAAAACGCCGATCCCTATCGGCCGGCACTCAAAAACGACTCCGCCGCGATGTGCCAACGGCCAAGACTTTCCCATCGCGGAAATCACCCTTGGGAGGTTGCTTATGAGCTTCCTAAAATGGAATTTTTGTAGCACGTCTTATCCGCTGGTTCAGCAGCATCAGTTTACAACCCCGCCCCAGGTTCAGCATTGTCAGACGGGGAAGGTCGTCTTGACCCGACGAGGAATATAAGAAGCCTCCTGATCAGGTGCAGAGACAACGATGCACTTTTCATTTCAATATGCCCCATAATCAATGAAAATGTTTACTTCACGCAGGTTCCTTCTAACCCTGCTTGCCTCAGCATCATCAGGCGTCTTAAGTGCGCCCCTCGATACGGATGTCGTTGCAGCGGCTGGCCGATATGTTGTAACCCTCAAACCTCATGCAGCCGTCGATGTCGACCTTCATGCTCGATGGGTAGCTGACATCCATGCCCGAAACCTGCGGCGCCGCGGAGATATCACGTCAGGCTTGAGCTCTACTTTTAGCTTCAACGACTTTGCAGGGTATGCAGGATCCTTTGATGATGACACCCTCGAAGCCATCAGGGCCAATGTCAACGTAAGGACAAAACTCCGTAGCCAAGCCTTTCACATGATCGAGATGCAAGAGGAACTCACAACAAGTTGAATCTAACATAAAACAGGTTTCATCCGTTGAGCCCGACAGCTTCTTTGCCTTGACCTCTTCAACGCCGCTTGAGGAGCAGGAGAACCCGCCCTGGGGTCTGTCAGCTATCTCTCGCGCCAACCCACCTTCATCGAACTCAAGCTACGTCTTCTACCGGAGTGCCGGCCAAGGAACATTCTCGTATTTCCTTGACAGTGGCATCTACACCGATCACGTCGACTTTGAAGGCCGTGCTAGTCTCGGCTATGTTGCCGCTGGCGCGGAGAACGCCGTAACCGACGAAGCTCATGGCACGGCTATTGCCGCCGTCATCGGCGGCAATGTACATGGTGTCGCCAAAAGGACCTCCCTCATCGGAGTCAAGGCGTCGGGCTCACATGGAGGGTCGCTCAGTTGGCTTATTGATGGTGTTGCCTGGACCGCCAATGACATTGTATCGAAGGGGCGGGTTGGAAAGTCGGTCATCAACATCTCGATGCTTGGGACCAACTCCCCCGCAATCAATAGTGCTGTGCAAGCTGTGATTGACGCTGGCATTCCAGTTGCCGTCTCAGCGGGGAACTACAATTCTGATTCGGCGGACTGGTCTCCGGCCAACCTGCCAGACGCCATCACCGTCGCTGCTAGCAACATCAATTACCGCCGTTGGGCTGCGTCGAACTGGGGCCCAACGGCTGACATCTTCGCGCCTGGTGAGGATATCTTGACTGCGGATGTCAAATCCCCTACATCTACAATCCGCCATTCGGGAACCTCTGAGGCCGCACCATATGTTGCCGGTGTCATTGCCTACTTGCTGGCTTTGGAGGGTCCTCGAACGCCGGCGCAGATCAAGACCAGGCTTCTTGAGTTGGCTGCAAAGGATCTGATCAGTGACCCGCGAGGAGTTCCCAACTTCTTTCTCTACAACGGCAGCGGAGCTTGAAGAGCCCGGTCTGTCGTGGAAAAAGCTATGCCTCCACCGTGGGTTGCTACAGCATGATAGTTGTGAAGAACAAGGCTTTATATAGTAGATGGTCTTGCTTTAACGAGCTAAGTAAATCCACCAGTCATCAGCCTGCTGTACTCCAGATAGGTAATCGGAAAGGTATGTAGAAAAGAGGACTTTCTCCCGTCGTCATCACTCTCACCGAGAAGTCCTAGCTGCCTGCGGGACCCGGCGTGCAAGCCAAAAATTTCTGGCCTGCAAGTGATGGAGACCTGTGCTCCGACGCACTTCAACCACACTTGAACCCGTCAGGCTCATTCACGTTGCTGCACTTGTATTTACTGGCGGCTACGGGAGGGTCCACGGCAATGTTTTCCAACTGGACATTCTCAAAAACAATCCGGTCGCAACCACCGTGGGATCTGCTGCATTGAAATTCGGCAACGTTCGCCGATCGAATTGAGCCCCGTACGTTCTTATAGGAAATGTCGGAGATGTCAAAGGTGGATGTGCTGCAGTTGGCTTGATCGACATTCGTGTAGCACTGGTTAATGACGAATGGCGCCCGCGAGCCATCGTGGATCGTCACGTTGTCCCAGTTGATGTTCTTCACGTCTATATCCAGAATTAGTCGTGACTAAGATTCGTCAGTCAAGGGAAGACGACTCACAGCCAATGCCACCGCCGCCGCCGTTCGGCGGCCAGTCATTCTGCTCACCAGTCCAGGTCTTGATCCGACCCAGATAGCGGGACCCGTATGCCACAATATTGCGAGCCGTCACATTCTCGACCGTCTCAAAGCGGCCATAGTATTGCCCGATGCTGCCGATAGCAACGCCTTGGCCGTCGTGAAACGTCGAATCTTCAATGATGATGTTGGTTGAATTGGCTTTGGCCGCAATGCAATCATCCCCGTTCTGAATGGTCCAGCGTCGGAACGTGATGCGATCTGAGAACATTGTGTTGGCACCGTCGGTGTTCCTTGCAGGATTTCTGTTACTGCTAGTTGCATTGACGTAGATGTCTTCCAGTAATACTCTCTTGGAGCCAACGACGGTGACAGTCCTGCAAGATTAGCAAATCATTTGTTCGCCAGGGAGAATAACTTGTTGCATACCACATTTGAGGCTGCACAAAACGAAGGCCGTGAAAATACGAGTCTTCAGCAGTGACGACAAGGGCGTGCGGTCGGTCTGGAGCGCAAATGTCGTGAGGAGAAGTTTGGCTTGAGCGCTTGAGAGCTTTACTTACTAGGGTAGTTTGACTCTCCGCGCACGAAATCATACCAGGTCTGACCGTTACCGTCAAAGGTGCCATGGCCATAGCCTTCGACATGAAGTCTCTTGCCACCAAGAATCATGGCAGTGGTCTGGTTCTGGTAGGCGGCTGGTGGATATGATTCCTGGTCAACGCCGGGACCGATTGGCAATGAGTTCTTGAGCCAGTACTGGATATCCTTGCTCCACTATAGACGTGTCGTTCGGTCAGAAACCCCTTGATGTCACGACATGGCTGAGACTTACGAGAAGAGTACCCTTTATCTCGATCCTGACGTTGTCAAGGTGCTTGAACGACATTGCTTTTTCAATGTTATAAGTCGTGTTTTGAAACACAATCACAGAGTTTTCGCGACACTTCTCGAAGCCCTGAATGATGGCTGGAGAATCGTCGGTTCCATCGTTGTTTGCAGCAATGACGCATCGATGCTTGCATTTCGTACCTCGGCGGGGACAAGAAACCGGCTTCTCGTGGGCGCCGAAGTCTGTCCAGTCCGCCGCAACGCTCAAGGCGTGCATCACGATGATGCTAACGCGAACTAGGCTGATTTTCATTGTGAAGGAGAGTTGGCTTATACAGTGTAAAATCTAGTCTCTTTGAAAGCATTTCAAAACCACCCTTCTTAACATGAAGATATCATCGCGTCGTACTTATGCACCCCTCAGCATTTCAATCCTGCCACAACATTATTCTTCTATGGACGGAAAATAACAAGTGTGCAGAACAAGGGCAGCACTGATGATGTTCGTGATCTGTAGCCGAAAAATGCCGAAAAGCATGATTGATATTCAGCGAAAACAAATCATCAGCGTCGACGACCTTCTGTCAAAAGATCGACAGCGCTCGGGCGAAAGGGCAAACGGAAAACGAATAGGCTCCCTTAGTCCGAGCTATTTGCCTGCCGGGACGGACTCATGTTCCAAATCGGGCGATATTGAATATGGCCCCCAAGCTGCCTACGTCGGCCACTACTTCCCCGAAAGTATAACCTCACGTTTTGCGGGGATGTTGTGGAAGACTTGACCTATGTGGCATAGCTTCGGTTCGACGGCGACCACAGTCAACGTATATCGAGTTTGCGCAGATGTAGACACTTGCTTTACGGAGAAGCATATTTTGAGTGGTCGAGCACTGTGCAAGAACAATTGGTGGATTAAATCATAATGTCGACGGCAATTCGTGCCCATGTTGCAACGAGGTCGATACTGATGACGTAGTCTGAGCGGTCCAGCTTCGGGTTTAGTACGATTATCCTAAGCATTATACTGGCACACTGTCAGGCTCTCGCTCTTCGATGTTCCGACGGGGTTCTGGGATTCAATACAATCCTGATGATGGCACAGGAGATCAACGCTGGTGATCACAGAGCCTACCACTGCTTTGGCGCCAAAGAGAAACATTCAAAAAGGCCCCGTGATCAGGCACTAATCTCGAAATTAACCTTTATTCAAATCGCTTAACGTGCTCTTCAATTCGGTCTTGTTGCAGTCGGCTCAGCATCTTGACCAACAATGCTTCTTTCCCAAACCTTTGCACTGCTGCTCGGAACTGCGAGCGTTGCCTCAGCCAAATGGATTGTGCCGGGCGCCCGCTGGCTTGACACAGATGGCAAAATTTTCAACGCTCACGCTGGAGGTCTTTGCGTGGACGAAGAGACAGGCAGATTCTACTGGTTCGGGGAGTACAAGATTCAGGGCCAAGTCGAAGGTGGTGGCATTTCTGTCTACAGCTCCGATGATCTTGCAACATGGGAGTCACACGGCCTCGCACTCGGTACTTTGATTCAACTCTATTATCTTGAGTTGTTGGCATGACTGACTGATTATTTGTGGATACAGAACCGGTAGAAGGCCACGAGTATGTCTCCTCGCACAACCGCATCCAGCGTCCCAAGGTTATTTACAGCAAGGAGACGGGCAAGTACCATGTAAGATGAACATTCAGAAAGTTCAAACGGACCATGAAGACGAAACGTACTGATCAGGGGTTTCTAGATGTGGTGGCACGTCGACGACTCCAAATATAGCATGCTGCTCCAGGGCCTAGCCACAGCTGATAACATTGCTGGCCCATACATTTTCCAAGACGCCATCGCACCTCTCGGCAACTGGTCTCAAGATTTTGGTGCCTTCACTGATTACAAATCGGGGGAATCGTATGCGTTGTACTCAAACGGAGACAGGGTCGAGGGCCGCGATGTCTATGTTAGCAAGTTCAACAGTAACTTGACTGATGTCGAGGAGGTAACTTTCCGCTTCAACAAATACGACTTTGAGGCCCCGACAATTCTGCAGACGGAAAAGAGCTACTTCGCCTTAATGAGCCACAAGACAGGCTACCGCCCGAACAGTGAGAAACCCCACCTTCAATACTCATGTCCCTGCTCAGACACCTGACTTACATTCGCTTAGATGTTGTCGGGATGCGCGCCGACAAACTTGAGGGCCCTTGGTCGCAGCCGTTTTTCGTATCTCCAGCCTACACTCGTACCTTTAGTACCCAGTCCAGCTTCTCTTGGAGAATTAAGGGCTCAAAGAAGACTACATACCTCTACATGGCTGACCAGTGGGACATGCTGTCTCTCTGGGAGAGCCGGAATGTCTGGCTCCCGATTGACATAAACGAGCGTGACGGAAGTCTCCGTGTTATCTGGCATGACATCTATGATCTGGATGTGTAAGTCCTAGTACCTAGTGTGACAGCTTCAGAAAGAAACGATGTCTCTGACCATTTCACAGGCAAACTGGCGAGTGGTACCCCATCAAGGGCAAGACCTACACCTCCAAGCGTGCAAAGCTTGCTGGAGACGCGTTCCTACAGGAGGCTGTAAGTCAACCCCTCCCGGCAATTAAGTCGTTCGCTAATGGGACTTCTTCAGTCATTTGGAAGCCATAATGTGATCGCTACTGGTATTTATGGCAATGACAGCACGATAACATTCGAGGTTGACGGTCAAGGCCAAGACCAGTGGGTCTCTTTCTACCATCAAAGTCGGTAGTCGCTCAATACCCCAACCACAAGTTCCCACTGCTGATAACATTCTCTGTCTACAGATACCGATGACATGGGCTTCGGTGACCAACCTTACGGACAGCCCGATCGCATTAATGGCACATGGCAACTGCGCCGCATCAGCAGCGTTGTTCTCAACGATGATACCGACCACGTCCACACTCTGTACCAGAAGGACACGCATAAAGGAATCATTCTTTCGACACCCCTACAGCTGCCTCTAAAGGAGGGCCGTAACAAGATCACCATCGGAGGCTTATACAATGGATTCGATTACAAGGGCGCCGATCTTGACAAAATTGTGGTGTACCCTCCCGAGCCCAAGAACAGGAAGCGAGGGTGGTTTTAAGGGGTGTCTATGAACGGCAATTGATGTCATTTTGGGACATGCGCATCGGTAGCATCAATGTTCTTCAAAGTCTCTGTGGCAAGATGCTGGAAGGAGCGTTTCCAATGTTCATCAGAAGCAAGGCATGCTGAACCTGTTGCTTCCAACCTGATCTTCCCGAAATTTTGTTTAGTATTTGGACATAGGGTGCTTTATTACATCCGGGAATTTCAGTCACCGGAACTCGCGTCTATTTGTCGCAATGCGTTGTTATGCCCGCCAATTCGATCACAACATGAAAAATATGGTCATGTACACACTCTTTTAAGCAAGGCCACCGCTCCTCAAACTCGCCTATGCAGGGAGGTGGAAGCCAGTCTGGCGCAGCTTCTGAAACACTTGATTGGGGTCGTACTTGGAGGACACCGCCTTCATGTGGGCAATGTTCTCGGCGCCGTAGTGAGAGATGGGGTCCTGGCTGGAGTGGGCGTAGTTGAGGAATTGCCAGTGCTTGTTGAGGCCGAGACCGTCAGCAGCAGCCTGAATAGCCTTGTTCATCTCGAGGGCGATGGGAAGAACGATCTCCTGGTTGGCAGCAGTGTCGACAGTGAACACAATGTTGTACATGATGACAGGACCGTCCTTGACAACGTGCTCGAGACCGAGGGAGTTACCGCCGCGCTTCTCCATCACGTTGACAATACCCTGGGTGACAGGCTGCCACTGGAAGATCATCTCGAAGTCAGCATCAGGGGCTGCAGCCTTCATCTTGTCGATGTGAGCGTGGAAGATCTCGTCCATGGTCTTCATCATGTTTTCGTCGTGAGCAACCATGCCGGTCTGCCAGTTGGCGAAAAGACCCAGAGGCGTGGGGCCAGTGAAGACAGGCACAACTTCATGGGCGGGGCCAGTGACAGGGATGGTGTAGAGAGCTTCAATGGCGAGGAACTCATCAAAGGCCGAAGAGATATTGGCGTTGATGTTGCTGAGAATGCCACCGACACCGTAGCCAGTCTTGTCGTACGTCTGAGCGTAGATCACCTGGCTCTCGGGCTCCAAGTCCTGTACAAGAACAAAGTTGTAATACGCCTTCATAGCCTCGAATCGGTGCTCTTGGGCGTAGCCGTTGAGGCTGGCGTAGATCTGGGCCGAGGGCCAGACCTTGATATCCAGCCTCGTGACGAAGCCGAAGTTTCCAGAGCCACCCTTGAGAGCCTTCCACAGATCGGTGTTCTCCTTGGCATTGGCATTGACGATTGAGCCATCGCCGACGACGACCTCAAAGTTCTCCACGTTGTCACAGGCGAAGCCTCGAACACCAGTGTGGAAGGAGTAGCCGCCACCAGTGGTAAAGCCGCCAACACCGACGACATCAGCGCGGCCGCCTACGCCGACAACATTCTCTGTTGCCAGAGTCTTGTACACTTTGCCCCAGTCTGATCCAGGCCCCACTGAGGCGATCTCGGTGGCTTTATCGTAGGTGGTAGAGCTCAGGTTGCCTACACAAGAACTGAGATCAGAAGGGTGGCCAGGACCAAGTCTCAACAGAAGGAAGACATACCAAAGTCAACAGTGACACCATCCTTGATGCCATTGGCACCCTTGAATGCCGAGTGGGCACCGGAACGCATGCCGAATGGGCATTGATGCTGGTTGAAAACCTTGACGATCTTGGACACATCCTCGGCAGACTCCGGAAAGACCATGCACCACGGAGCTTGGGCGGCGTTCGCAGAGTAGTATTGAGTCAGGCGCTCATCGTAGCGCTGCTCATCTGGTGACCATACCTTACCCTCAAGCCCTTCTGTCTTGGAGAGAGCAGTGCACTGGTACTAGAGTCAGCAAAATTATGCGAACAAAGTTCTGCTGGTGTGGACCAGCCGGACGTGGATCCGTCATACGCAGTGGCATCGGGGGCCGTTGACAGAAGCGGCTGAAGCTCCCTCGAGAGCCAGCGCCGAGATGATGGCCGCGGCAGAGATCTTCATGGTGGACTACTCTGTGGTCGGCCAGGTGGAAATACTCCGTATTGTCGCGTGGCGGCTGGGTTGAGAAACTGGCAAAGGCAATCCTTCCACCTTTGACGCAGACAATCGTCACGTGGAAAACAGGGTGTGGTGAGACAAAGCGGTCTTGGAGATGGGCAAGACTTTCAAAAATTAATTACGAGCAACATGACATGCATGGCTAGGACGTTATATCTTTTGCAGCTGTAATTACGCGTTCGGTAGAGCATCCACTAATCTCCCTCTGATGGGCTCTAGTTGATCCGGGCCTGCATGAAGTCGTGTTCTGGAGTTTTCTCCGGACATCTCCTTGATAGCCTGGCATTGGTATGAGACGTGAGCAGAAAGTATCGACAATTTGATGCGCTAAAATCCCTTTCTGGACAACGAAGCCTTTCGACAGGGGTCTTCGGACTCGCGAGTCAGGAAGTCCGGCCGAGGCACGGGGCACTGAGACGGGATCTGGCAAAGTGTTGGACATGGGTTATGAACGTGGGTTATTGTCGGCCTTGTGACTTTTGCCGTACAACCGGGATCAGCATCCTAGGGGCTCCGCTATCTCCTGGGATGCCACGGATCGAGTTTTGCATCATTTACCACCTTAACACAGGCTAGAGCGAAGCTTGAACATAAGCATACGTCGAGCAGCATTGGTCTAATCCCGAGTCTCTGAACACGACTCGAGGAATTAAATCAGTCGAATAGTCATGCTCAATGAGAGTACACATGTACACTACACTGATGGGCGGAGGGAGGGGTAAATGCTGCCGCTCAACGCGGATTATGTGGCAGAAGCACCGCGCCGAAGGATCACAAGATCGTCACGAGCAGTGGCCTACCCTGTCCTTAGGCTTACCAAGAAGAGGAAAGATAACCGGTTTGTTTTGGGTCCTTCAGTCATCCCCGACTAGGGGTCAATCTTTTTCTCATCCGCGGCTTGATCCAAGAACGACGAGCAGTCCTAGTTTTTCGATAAAGCTTCGGGCTCAATCAACAGTGACTGTCGTTGTTGCAGATAAAGATTGAAGAGCAGACAAAATTTATGCAGACTATGCCGCCAGGAGAGTGATGTTTCTCTTGTCGCTATTCCAGTCGGGGTAACGTAACCTCAAGGGCAGCAACTAGAGTAGTCCCGCCACTAGTGATAAGCCTGATTATTACTAGAAGCGGCCATCGTCGCGGGCCGCAGGACGGGAATGCCAGTGGCTTCGAAGGTCTCCAGTGCTCAGGGGTCGGACTCGTCCCCCGGGAAACTAGGGCACTGACCTGAGCGGATTAATCGTGATCGGTAGTTTGACGCACAGCCATAATCACGGAGAGCGGAGCAGTTCGCTCTGCTCAATTGTCCTGGCACCCGAGATCCGTGCGATGAATTGACTCGCGCCGGAACAAGAAAACTTAACGACCGACACAACGGCTGACACCATAAGACTTGCTTGCATGAACTTGGTGCCCCGACGACCAGATTACCGGGCTCCCGACCGATTGGAAATGCAACCTGTCTGCCGCCCCTGTTACCACATCTACCAAGTACGCAGGATATCTGCAGTCAGCGCATCAAATCCCCTTTCATCTGCCAACCTCGGGCCAACTTACCACCGACCTCCCCCATCAGATTCCCCGCTTTGGGAGTGCCAAGTCGCCCTTCACACACCATGCGTCTTTCAACCAGGTTGTCCCCAGCAAGTCCCTGCAACGCCTTAACAGTCTCATCACCGACTCTCGTTCAAGTGCCTATTCAAGATCCCTGGGTTTCTGATTTGTGCTTGAGCGCACGATGAGGATGCATATGGGAAGCTTGTCGGACTCGTAAAGAAGTTCCGTCAGAGAGGACTATGGTTGTCTGAGGATATCTTGTTCATCCACCTAAAAGGTCTAGCTCAGTTGAGCAGAGGGAACTAACATTGTACCCCGAGACATAATTCTCTAGCTCGACATTGGACACGGCCCAAATTTCGTCTCGTGTTGAGCGGTTGGCGCGGATATGCCAAGTCAATCCTGACTGTCGCTTAGCCACTCGCTCATGAAAGCCCGGCGTTGACAATGAGCTTCACAGGGATTACCAGGGATAGATAGTTCGGACTCCACGGGGTGCTCCATTCCGAGTGAAGGATTCACTTGGCCTTCTGGCCCTGTTACAGAGGAGCAAGGTACATTTTACTAACCATTTGGCCCCCTTTCAGCTTGCAGCAGATGCGGATCAAGCTTGCAGGGACTGATGCATCCTTCCAAACTTCTTCGAGAGCTCCGTCTGACCCAGCAGCTGGTGCCGATTCTGGGACGCTGTACCATGTCGTGTGGGCAGCATCATGGCAAAACCACTGGGCTTTGTCCACGATTCCCCCTGTCGATGTCCATCTGATGATCCGATACAGCCCCCCACCTGAAGGCTAGAGCCTTTTAGATTCAAGTGATGCCTCCACCGTCAACTCATTCACCGATTGGCTCTGGTATCTGGTGGCAATGGCCTGTCACTAGGCTCTGTTCCATCTCAACGCCCCGGAGCGCGGGACTTTGGGCCAAAAGGCCGGCACCCACAACATTGGTCCCTGTCTGCCGCTAAGCAGATGGGTACTTTCCGGTGACGAGATCCCTTGCCGTCATGTGCACTTTGATGCAAAGGAGAGTATGTAAGTAGACCAGCTTTGAACCATCACCCCTCTGCAAGTGATCTGGTTGTGGTTCCATTTTCCAGTCCTGCTGCTGATCGACGGCTTGCTTGACTCGTTCAAACTTCAAATCGACCATCAACATGTCCGGAATTCCGGTAGTCAACGGCGTCGAGGTCCTAGTTCCCGCACCGCCGGGGTACGTGGTGGACTTTGATAACCCGCAGCGGCAGTATGTGATGGAGCACTACTTGATCTTCGGCATAATGGGGCCACTGGCCTTCATTGCCCTGATGCAGAGGTTCTATACGAAGATCTTCCTAGCAAAGGGCCTCCAAATTGACGATGGTAAATCCAATGATTCTCCTGTTGCAACGTTTGGTTTGCTGACTCGTTTTTCAATCAGCATTCATGTTCCTTGCATGGGTTGGTTGCCATCCTTTCTGATCAGAATGAGTACTGGAAGTTGACCAATCCATCAGGTATCGTCAGTGGCAACACAGGCCGGCATGGTCCGTAAGTACAAGCAAAACATGACGTTTGACCAGTCCACAAGCACAATAAAATTGACGGGCCTCAATAGATACCGTAGCGATGAAAGCTCTCGGGTGTCACATGTGGGAGGTTCCTCTGGAAACATACAAGACTTCGACGCTGGTAAGTGCTGGCCATCCACAGCACATCAATGTCTCGCAGCAACAGACAGCTAACATTTCTACGTAACAGATCACATACGTGACCGCTGGCGTCTTTATGCTCTGTAACGGATTCACGAAGTTATCGCTTCTGACTTTCTATCTCCACCTTTCGCCTCAAAGATGGTGGCGCATTGCTGTTTGGACCAGCATCGTCGTTGTGGCACTGTACACACTTATCATTACTGTCATGTTGTTTGTCCACTGTACGCCAGTGTCTAAAGCCTATGATGTCTTGATGGTAGGGGGAAGCTGCATCAATGTCGGCATTCTCTACATTGCTACGGCCGTTTCCAACATCGTCACCGACATACTTCTCTTCGTGTTGCCCATTCCGATGGTCGTCCGCCTCCGCATGGGAATCTTCCCCAAGATCGGCGCCATTGTCATTTTCGCCATTGGCTCCATGACGGTGGGAACATCAATCGTCCGACTAGTTTTCCTTCTGGACGTTCTGGCCACCCAGGACCTTACCTGGGACGCTGCTCGTGCTAACATCTGGTCGTAAGTCATACCCCTGGACTGCTTGCGCACATTCGCGGTGGACCATTCTTACTGACACGTGCGGCAAAAGTCTCATCGAAGCCAACCTCTTCATCATCTGCGGATCGATGCCGACCCTCCGCAAGTTCTTCAAGCACTTTGCCCCCAAGCTTATGGGAGCCTCCTCGACCAACATGTCTGGACCGAATTATGCTTCGGGATATGCGAACAAGGAAATGAACACTGCACCCAATGCGTTCTCGCGCAAGGTGCGCAGCCAATATGACCGGTACGAAGATAACGAGATGCAAGTGTTCAGGTCAATGGACAGGGACGAAGACAACAAAAGCCCCAACAATGTGCATCAGATCAGTGTCGATGGTGGCGGCGACGTACAACCAGACAACAATAGCGAGAAGGCTATTTTGCAGACCAAGACGTTTACGGTCCGGTATGATTAGTGGTAGATAGCAAATCAGATGAGGCCAGAAGATTGCTTCGTTTCATACGATCTCATTGTTGTTCACGTCCAAGCCCGTGTCAGAACGAGCTTGATCCGCTGCCATGTGCTTAGGTCGAGCTTAGAGCGCGGAGGTCCTCCCACCACAACATACCAACCCACAATCTTCCGTCGGTGAATGCAATGTGTATTGGAACATTTCCCATGGAAGTTCTAGCTCGTTACTTGATGATGCTGTCGATGGAAAAATCACATCAAACTTGTTTCGTTGCCCTCCACGGCCCAGATAGAAGAAATTGCACGAATTGGGTGGGGACACGACCAGATCAAAGGCACACGGGTATACGGGAATCTAGCAGAGCTCTGGGAACCTTATTCGCAAATGCCTTTTAAGTTGGTTCCGGAATTGCGTGACGACAACCAACTTTGGGGTTAGTTTGCGCTGCTGTGTCGAAATCGTGTGATAACACTTGGCACCTAGTGGCACAGCAATGATCTGCACTTTTTGCATGGTCAAACGACTCGTTGTCGAATTCCGTTGCACCCCAAGATTGCTATATACGACAAGGGCAAACAAAATGTCAAAAACATACAACATCAGGGATTCGCTGGTGGTCACCCACCCAACTACTAGTCCGACCCTTACTGGCTTGTCTATGGGAGAGCGGACGGGATCCCGAATTCTCCAGTAGGTATGGTCGTATGTGATAGGGACCGACCTTGTGGTAGTACAAGATTGACATTTACTCGTGACTAGTCAAGCCCAGAAAGGGTCGACTGCGGCTCATGTCCGAAGACTTTTCAAAGACTGCCCATTCGAGATAGTGACATACGTGTAGGTTCGAGGCTAGAGTCAGAATGACCTGCAAGCATGAAATATGTTGCACAAGCCTGATGCCAGCAGGCAGGTATGACCAAAGTTGGAGGGTGATATACTCGCACAGATGATATGCCAAGCTGGGGAACTGAAAAGATTTTGGCATACAACTTCACGGAAGTTCCGGCTATGGTGTTGAAACGAGCCTTGGGAACAGTTGAGAAGGCCAGAGACCTGTGGGTTGTAAGGTTTCGACGATGGTTCTGCTACCTCTGTTTGACCAAGGCGGTCGGAGGGAAGACTTGGCTAGAGTCAGGAAGTGTTTTCGTGGCCTGTTTAAACAGTCGAAGGCTTCTCTTGATCTTCAATGTTAGCTCGAGGTTAATATCGTATGGTTTGGAAAGCTCGGGTGGTCACAGGATCGGCACATGTTCTGCCCACTGTCAACCGTGTGCTTCTGGTCTTCCTCGTAGAGGGCTCCCTAAACCTTGAACAGTTCGAAAGTTTGGAAAAGACTAGCTTCACATTGATGCAACGGGAAGATCGAAAGATAGAGAAATGCAATTGAAATGCGATGCTAAAGCGTTGGGAAGACCTTCAGCCACGAAGCTATGTCAAAAGCTGTTGACAAGCTTTACGACCCTTGCAAAGCGCAGGCCTGTGGTATGGCTGGTCGAGTGGGAAATGTTGCTACTATACTTTTAGATATTTAACAGGAGGAAGCTATGCGCTAGAAGGGGGGGGGGTTGGAGCTATAGACGCTTCAAGGCATCAGAACTTGGTGGTGCCTTTCTTTATTCACTCTGGCAACACAGCCTCGTTGCCTTGAGACCATGTCAGATCAATGGCGTAGCTTGTAAACACGAATGAATCTTTTTGGTGTCCAGCTTGCTTTGAACAAGTTTGAACCTTTGAGAAACCGACACTCCTTGATTGTTGACCGTCTGTTGTTAATCTCTGCTCGTCCGACAGACTCGAATATGTCGAAGTAGGTGGGAGTCCAAAGTCGACGAGAACACATGGCAAGACAGCCAGTGCTATTGCTGAGCGATGAATGGTCGGAAACTTTCTGCAAACAACCAGCTTGAGGAGAGGCCACGGCAATATGATACACCTTGTGATGTTCAATATTGACACGCAGTCCTGGACGTATTGGGTCGATACAGGCTGTCACGAAACGCTGTTCTGAATGACACCAAGTCTACCGACCCCCGCTGCTGGGTGGTCTGAGCCCACGGAACATCGGCAAAAACCTCGTGCGCAGCGAGAGCTAAACCTAGGGGTGGGCGACAGCGACTGAGTCAAAAAAGGGGCTCAACGCGGAACCACATGTCAAGTGGCGCGAAGCAGTATGTGTGTTTGCCAAAGTCTGTCGGCCGGTAAACAACAGCCCAGTTGCAGGTTGAAATTGCGTGACATCCTTCTTGGCCCATGCCTTGGATAGCATCACTGGTCACATGGAGCTTTCAAGTTGCATGTGCCGCTGTTTGCGGCCTGAAGAGTGACGGGTCAGGGTAAAAAAAACATCGCTGAGCTGGATCAGCGCTGCTTGCTGAGGACGTTGCAACCGTGGCTTGCAGCTAGCACGGCACGGTAGCATAATTTATCTAACGCTGTTCTGGAGGTTGCTCCTGTGAGGAATGCGGCGTCTGTAGCGGTTGCGTTTGGCTTTCGACCGACAAGATGTGTACCTGCCAAGGCAGAACACAGCAGCAGTCACATCTAAATCGATATTGGTGGCGTTGCCAGAGGATGACATATCCACAGGTCGTATATGGAACACTGGCGGTCGGATGCATCCTACCGACCTGGGGTGGAGGGTAGCGAGCGTCTCAGGGTAACATCAGATACTTCGACGACTGACAGGCCGCGTTGGATGCCCATTGTGGCCCTGGACCCTTCTCGTCCATGACACAATAGACCGGCTGAGGCCCAGGTGGCCTGAATAAGGCTCATTTGAGGCTCGAAGAGGTAGGACGGGAAGCAGGTGGGTCAGACTATCGAGGCGGCCTCCTGATCAGCTTCAGGGTGTAGCGGGCGTTGTGGGCTACGAAGCAGCCAGAGAAACAATTTTTTGCCAAGCTCGCGTACAAGAGCAGGCATCCTGTTGGCGAGCTTGGGCAATGTTTGCATCCTCACCAAGACTGACGGAATCTCGGGGCTCCCAGGAAAGGAATGTGGTTAAGAAGCAGAGAAGACGAATTTTGCATGACCGGCACTTTTCATTGGCTGCATACTTGGCGATGCGATCACGGCAGATCGCGTCATCGGGTCTAAGCTCACCGAAGTGGAAACCCTGACACACACCTGGCTTAGTCACTCGGTACGTACCGGTCAGGGCGGCGGCATCACCAACCAGAGCCTCGCAACGGCACCTGCCAAACCCACCTCAAATCCAACGTCTTCACCAACAAACCTCGACCACCTCCACACCCCCTTGCCACTCAAACCATGTGCGGGTGCATCAGCACGCATCCTACCTAGACAGCCGAGACATGGTCTGTCCCGAGTGAACGGCCATCCTGGTGGATGTCGCCGTGCCTGCAAGACGGGAAGCTGCTAGGTCTGCTAGACAGCGACACCACCATCCTGCGGGCAAGGGGCGCCCGCATCGAGACGCATACCGTCGGCCTCACGATCACGCAACTGCGCCAACAGCAATCCAGTTGCCTATTTCTCGCGTCGCGTCATGTCATCAACGTGAGCCCAGCCTGTCGTGAACCTCCGAGGCCGAAGGCGTCATCGCGGTCCATGATGGTCGGTCCACTTGGCGCCGTACGGCGGTCCGAACCATGGGGCCATCCCATGTAGAACAATGCTACCGTTTCTGGGGCCCAGACTTTCGCGTGGGTGCTGCCCCATGGGAGCGACTCACTTTATAAAACCCCTTCTCGAACCCTTCCTTTCTTTCTAGCTCGCTTAACCTGCATGTTCCTGGAGCCTCCCGCAGCCCTCGAGTCTCGCCGATCACCGATCAGATCTTGATCACAGACACCCAAAGGCCGGCTACGATCATCAACACCCATACGCCATGGCTGACAACTTTGCGCCCCGCGTCTTCGGCGACGCCCCTGTCGCCGCCTCTGGCACCGACAATAAGGACGGCTTCCTGCCGGCCGCCTCTGACAATGACAGCGAAGTCGGTACGTATACGCCGCGCCGCCCGCGAGCTTGGATCGCTTGTGCCCTCCGTGCTGACAAGACGACTGTGTAGGCCGCATTGAGCAGAAGCGCGAGGCTAAGCGCCAGATTGGCATCATCAGCGCCAGTTTCCTCATCTTCAACCGCATCGTTGGTACTGGTATCTTCGCCACGCCTTCCAGCATTCTGCGCTCCTCTGGTTCCGTCGGTCTGGCCCTCTTCATGTGGGTCGCCGGTATGATCATTGCCTTTGCTGGTACCGCCGTCTACATGGAGTTCGGCACCGCCATTCCCAAGAACGGCGGTGAGAAGAACTACCTCGAGTACGTCTACCGCAAGCCCAAGTTCCTGACCACCGGTCTGTACGCCGGCTACGTCGTCCTCCTCGGTTGGGCTGCCGGTAACTCGGTTGTCTTCGGCGAGTACATCCTTCACGCCGCCAACGTTGAGATCACTCGCTTCAACCAGCGTGGTGTCGGTCTCGCTTGCATCACCACGGCCTTCATCATCCACGGTACCGCCCTCAAGTGGGGTCTGCGCCTGCAGAACCTCCTCGGTTGGATCAAGCTCACCATTGTCTTCCTCATGATCATTGCTGGCTTCATTGCCCTCGGCGGTCACCTCAAGATCGACAACGACTTCAACAACTTCGACAATGCCTTCGAGGGCACCACCGGCAGCGCCTACGGTGTCGTCACCTCCATCTACAACGTTATCTGGTCCTACGTTGGTTACAGCAACGCCAATTACGCCCTCAGCGAGACGAAGAACCCGGTCCGCACCCTGAAGTTTGCTGCTCCCATCGCCATCGGTGCCATCTCGGTCCTTTACATGTTCATCAACATTGCCTACTTCGCTGCCGTTCCCAAGGAGGAGATCCTGACCTCTGGCCGTCTCGTCGCCGCTTCGCTGTTCCGTAACGTTTTTGGTGGCACCGCCGAGCGCGCCCTCTCCGTCTTCGTTGCCCTTTCCGCCTTTGGAAACGTTCTCTCCGTCATTTTCTCCCAGGGTCGTCTTGTCCAGGAGCTCGGCCGCGAGGGTATCCTGCCCTTCTCTCGCTTCTGGGCCAGCAACAAGCCCTTCAACGCACCTCTCGCTGGCCTGTTCGAGCACTGGCTCATCTGCATCATCGTCATGCTGGCCCCCCCTCCTGGCGATGCCTACAACTTCCTCCTCAAGTATGTCACGACTGGTCAATTAACCTATGTCTGATCGCTCGCTAACCACAAATAGCCTCATTTCGTACCCTCTTGCCATCATCAACGTCTTCGTCGCCGGTGGTCTCGTTCACCTTTACCTCAACCGCTCCGCGTGGAACTGGAACCCTCCCTTCAGCGCTTCGCTCCCCGTCGTCATCTTCTTCCTGCTCAGCAACATTTACCTCGTCGTTGCTCCCTTCGTTCCTCCCCCTACGCCCGAGCAGAACCAGTACGAGAACCTTCCCTACTGGATCCACTGCGTGACCGGCTTCGCCGTCCTCTTCGCTGGTGGCATCTACTGGGCCGTTTGGGCCAAGATCCTGCCCCGCATCGGCAAGTACGAGCTTGTTCGTGAGACCGTCATCGACGACATCGATGGTTGGGAGCGCAACGTCTTCTTCAAGCGCCCCATCGGCACCACCGCCGCGCTCGAGCAGGAGGCTGCTCAGTCTGGCGCCGCCCACAGCAGGGCCTTTTAGGAGATTATCATTACATTTGCATTTTGAGTCGAGGATCGAGAGATTTGGGCACGCCCTCGTTCGCGGCGTGCCAGGCATGCATCGCTTTGGATACCACATTACATACGCTCTCCACCGGTCCAGCTATTTTTGCTAGACCATGCCAGCGACTAGACTTAATGTCTCCCTACTGGGGGAGTTTCAACAACCCAATAGACATGATACCGTTTGGGGTACGACCAGTCTCTTGTCTCCCGTGCTGTGGATGTATTAGCCAAATGGCTTGATGCCTTTCGAAAGCTGCACCGCGTGAACATGGTGGCCTGGATGGTGGCTGTCTGATGCATAAACTCGGGAGGTGAGTACCAGATGCTCAACCAGGACTCGGTGGTCGGATGAGCAAGCACTGCGTCTTCGTATCGGAACGCACTTGTATGCGCTTTCCACTGTCGGCCGGACGATCCCTTGGCACCTATCTCCTTTGAATTGATCCCAATCGCCAAGTCAGTAGTTGTCGAGAAGCTTATGACAGACTAGCCTACGGAGTAAAGAGCGCGGTGGAAGGAGAAACAAACCCAAGGCCCAACCCGCCACACATTGGCAAGGCTCGAGATGCAGTCGAGTCACAGGACAGGGGTCGGGACGCACCATCGTGGAGCGGGGCCTAAATAAGGATCTTGCGGCTGATGTGTCGTCGAACGGTTGCCGGCATGCTTCCGCGATCCCTGGTCACGCCACCCGCTCTATCCGTGATTGGGGCCTGTCGTCCACAACATGGGTTGTGCGCCACAACAGGAGCTGTGAAAACGCGGTGCTATCCAGCCGGAAGATCTGTCTCTGGGTCGCAAAAGTATTAGTGTGAGAACAGTGCTCGAAGGATGCCTATTCATTCCTACGTACACAACAAGTGGCATATCTCCAAGGGTACGAAACATTAAGCGCAAGGGGCGCTTGGCTTGCATAGGTGCTGGCAATCTGCCTGAATGCGGCACAGCTTCCTCCGCGACTGGGCCCTCTGTTGTTTTCTCTTTGGGTTTCCAAGTCTCTTCCCTCTCTGCGGTCCTTGTTCTATGAAGAATCAGAAGGTGTTACGACATGACGGCTTGGAAAACATGACCTTCGGGTGAGATTGTCTTGGATGCTCTTCTAATGAACTACGCAGTTGCGTAACATCCATGTCATCGATATTGCAGCATCCATGCTGTACCAAACAATCATCCGCTCCCCATCAGCGGCCGGATGCAAATCATGCCCTCTTCGTCACATCTCCGTCACCGATTGCTCCACTCGACCTGGACATCCTCTTTGACCCGTATCCCCCGGTTGAGCCGATTGCCCGACGAACCAGCGTCGCTCGAATTTCGTATGGTGTCAATGCCGAGTATGTGTTCGTTGCTGCTATTGTTGTTCAAAGCCCCAATGTCCGTCACAGTCTGGCTGTCAAGACCCAAGCTGGCATTGCTTGCCTCTTTGCCTGCTCTTTCTTTCTTCGAGATCCCACGCATCTTGTAGCTCTCCTTATCCGTTCCCTCGCCGTACTTGTGATATTGTGCTTTTGATGACGTAGATAGATTGTCGCGCTTAAATGCGTGTCGGTAAAGGGGTCGCAGGAGCGGAATGCCGATACAGATCATGGTGACGGATTGCTCGGCGCACGACCATACGATGAGGGGGACGGTGTCCTCTGTTGCGCTGTCAGTATGATTCCCAAATCGCGAAGAGTACGCTCTGACCGGTGTAGTTTTCCGTGAACCCAGTCGCTACCTCGTATGTTCTGACGATACCTGCAGCACCAGCACTGAGTGGGCATCAGTTAGCGAGGTTGGCCAACAACAATTGTTCTAGTGGGGGGCCTTACATAAAACCCAAACCCATACTGACCGAGATGAATATCTTCTCTTGTCTCTTCATCTTCAAGTCCCATACGATCAACGTTGGAAAAGCAGCAAAGAAGAAGTCGGAGATGACGCAACAGACTAGCAGCGTTAGACTTGCGACTCGCTGTCACCGAGATCAGATAACTTACCACCCAGAGTGATGGCCACGGGAGTGATGTCCCAGTCGCATTTGGCCGTTGGACGTAACTCCAGGTCGAATATTGCCCTCGGTGGATTGCATTGAAACCAAAACGAGATGACTGTTGCGATTGAGTCGGCGAGAAGAACACCCATTACGGTCCAAATTGCCACTCGGTGCCAGTGAACCACTGTCAGTCGAAGGAGGAATAATCCGAGGGATATCTTAGACACGGCCATGCCAATGATCGAAAATGACTGCCCGACCATTTCCCATTTGATCGCAGCTGTCGCATCTTTGATTTCGAGGCCGTAAATCGAACGACCAAATCCGTATCCTTCTGCCACATGAGTAAAGGTTGTGTACAGAACCAATAAGATCTAAGAAACAGATTCAAAAGTCAGCAGCAGCTACGAGCGTCGTGGGTCTCCAGAGCCTAGCTCACCGCCGCTACAACGTAAGTATAATCGTCGAAGCCGAGCTGATCAATGATGAAGTATCTCGTCACGAGACGGAGACACAAGAAGACAAGTGTAATGGCTGTCAGGGTCCACATGACGGCCAAGGCCGCCTGTCCTTTCTCACTACCCGTCATGGTTGTGAAAGTCTCCTGTGTATGCCAATGGCGATTTGTCTTCTAAAAAGCAAACGTACGGTGAAAAGGTCGCTTGGGATATGCGTCAGGCGGAAGAACACCCTTAATATCAAGCATCTGGTTAAAATCCTTCCTATGACAAAGTATGAGTCCACAAGCCCCCTCTCCAGAACTCTCTCCATTGCCTGGCCATCATCTACACCGAAATACTCCAGGCTGTGCGTCCAGGATCCTGGGAAGGGCCCGGGCCTAGCTTCCTTCCTACTCTGGTTCCCCGGCTGACGCGACAATCAAGAGTGGCCTGATGATTCACAATGGACCTCTGTCAGAAGATGCGAGTGGTCGAGAAAAGTGGGATGCCGAGCTTTCGTTGTGCAGTGTTGGTCGATATACCCCTGATCGATGTGCATCACGTTGGCCGTGACAGAAAATCCCAAGGCCGGGCCGCATCGCCCCATGTTCCGAACCCTGTCGTGTGCGTCTATCCCCCGCGACGGGCTTCCTAGACCAACGTTCCGGTTATCCACCTTTCTGGATCTTTGGTGCCACCCAGTTCTTATACTGCGGGGATCTCTCTTTCTCACTGAAACCGCTGTCGCACTACTTAACTCTCGATATTTACTACTGACCGGTCCACCGCCTGTTTGATCAGGCTGCGTGAAGATGACGGACAACTCCAGTGGTCTTATCCTCGAAAGCGCTCCTCCATTAACAGGAGTAGTAGCAGAGAAGTCACCATTCACGATACTCTTCTTGATACCAGCTGCCACCTTTCTATTGTGGTGTTTATATGAGGAGCTTTATTCGCCTCTTAGAAAGTACCCAGGACCATTTCTCGCACGTGAGTCACGCGCCTCCAATCAAACATCGATGAGGGAAGAAGTCCATAAGAATTAATTCTAACGTCCTGGTCGGACTCCAGGATGGACCAGGCTCTGGTACATGTACTGGAATTGGACAGGCAACTCTCAGCTACAGTTAGAAAGATTGCACAAGAAACACGGCCCCATTGTTCGGATCACACCATACATCATTGATGTTGACATACCAGAGATTATCCAGACGGTTTTCAGCACCAAGGGGAATTGGCATAAGGTCAGTCACCGGGGAGAAATTTTGCCAACACGATGCTAACCCAGTGTCGACGTAGACTCCCTGGTACCATGGAAGTAGCGCGCTTGTCAATAATCAGATCGTCCTCAACCTGTTCAGCCAGACCGATTCAAAACAGCACGCAAAGGAGAGGAAGCCAATTGCCAAATTCTACTCCCCTGCTGCCACTGCCGCGCTCGAGCCTCATATTGACTCAGTCATGAAGAAGTTCTGCCAAGACCTGGAGAGACGGTTCATCAATGTTCCAGACGACAAGCGGGAGTTCGACCTTGGCCAGTGGATTCTATTCTGTAAGAAAGCCCTGCCATATATTCTACGAGCGAGGTCTCCCCCCCCCCCTTCCTTCGGGAATAAATTGAATGAAGCGTTGTATTTACCTCGCGTACTGATCAAACGCAGATACCTGGGATGTGACTGGTGCTGTGACTTTCTCCAAGCCATTTGGTTATTTGGATAAAGGCTTCGATTTCGATGGCGTTCTCCATGCTGCCGACAAAGCACAGGACTACTTTGTCGTCGTTGGAGCCATGCCGTTCCTCGACCGAATTTTCGATAAGAATCCCGTTTACCGTGTCGGGCCACCCGGATTCAATACTTCCACTGGCATCTCGATCCAACGCTTGCAAGACCGCTACACTGGTGCAGACAAGGAATACCACAACCCGGACATTCCCGACTTTCTTGATCACTTCATTGCCGCCAAGAATGACGACCCTGAAAACGTCAGTGACCCTCAGATCATTTCCTGGCTCATGGTCAATATGATCGCAGGAAGCGATGTAAGTCGATTATTTGCTACTGTTGATCTTCCCAATAATGTCTGACTTGCTCTTCCAGACTACTGCGATCACCATCCGAAGCGCTCTATACTTCTCCCTCAGCGATACCAAAGTCTGGTCTCGGCTCAACGGCGAAATTCGTGCGAAGCGTTTCCAAGAGCGCGGAATGGTTCCACCGGCATACAAAGAAGTCCGCGCCATTCCTTACGTCGATGCTGTCGTTCGCGAAGCGCTCCGCATTTTGCCAGGCGTCTCTATGTCTATGGAACGCTACGTCCCGGCCGGCGGGTTCACGCTCCCGAACGGCGACTATCTGCCTGGGGGAACTATCATCGGGATGAGCCCTTATATCACGAATCGGAACCAATCGGTCTTTGGCGCTAATGCCGACGCGTTCCGGCCAGAGCGCTGGTTGAGGGACGAGGCTGGAGGCGAAACGGAAGAGTCCTTCCAGTTACGCCTAACCCTGATGCACAAGGCGGACTTGTCCTTTGGGGGCGGAAGCAGAAGCTGCATCGGCAAGAATTTGGGGTTGTTCCAGTCCTACAAGGTTCTGGCTACGCTCATTACGCTGTACGACATTGAGTTGTCGGAAAAGGCAGACTGGAAGGTTATTTGCAGTTGGTTCCCACGACAAGAAGGCTTGCGGGTCAGGATGAGGCGAAGGCCGTTGTCAGCATCATGAAGGCAGCGTGCATTCCAAGCTCAATCGAAGCCAGGGAACGCAGAAGACGAGGAGCAGAAAACGAAACACGACGAATACCAGAGATCAGCCTACTTTCCCATGAAACATACAGTGTGCAGTCTGCCTAGTATTCAGTCCCCAGATTAGTTCAATGGACGATCAAGCATCTTGTCTTTGCCGGTAAGAGGGAAAGATTTGCCATGTGGGTACTCACACTGGCGACATGGATGACAGTCGTCGACTTACCTAATCGTATGTAATTCAACATCCCGCCCTGAAAAAGAATTCAGTCCAATAGATACCTTTTCCCAACGACATTCGTAAGAAACGGATCAAGACACCGAACGGCAAAAAAGAGAATGATGAGGACGAGACTCGAACTCGCGCGGGTTGCCCCACCAGGAAATCTGTTAAGGAGACCTTAACCTGGCGCCATAACCAACTCGGCCACCTCACCGGGGATTGATGAAAGCGGCGTTGACAGGTGGGTTCATGGAGCAGGTTGCGGGGCGCGACGAGAGCTTCATCTCGTTTCACCTTGTAAGATGCGGCAATGGCTCCATGGGCTGTCCCATGGAAGGCTATTGTAGAGCGCTGGCCTTGGCCGATGTGCCAATGAATTCCGGGGAAGTTCTCTTGTGTTAGAGCTGTGCACGTCTGGACGCGCTCACTTCTTTCAGAGGGTCGGCAGATCTAACCTCGTGATAAGCGTGAACCGCATTACATAATGAGCAGTAAACTTTATTGTCGTAGCTTGGAGATGACACGCTCATTCTATTGATGGGTATATTAAATCTACAGAGTCGATGCGACCTGGCCAATATGGACATTATCCCACACTATACTTATGGCAGTAGGTTAGAGGAAGCTGTAGCACGAAGGTCAAAGACTTACTCCATGTGTTCGCATCTTTGCACAGCTAGGATGAACTGTAGCGACGAGACGTTGTATATCATATGACGGTAATCTGAGGTTACAATGCTGGCAATCGTTGACACACATCGGCCGGCGACCTTGATAAAGGATGCTACAGGCCGCGACGCCCATCATTTTCGCCCTCTCAAAGGCTAGGAACAGGTACGTTAGTCATTGATTGTAAAGCGGGAGGTTAAGTCTATCTAGGAGGCCAAGGTCGTGGGTAATGTCCGAAGAGGCACGAGAAAAGGAGATCATAGCTTACATAGTAGGGTAATAGAAAAAAGCAGATAGTCGGACGTCAATTTCCGAAGCAATAATACATGTGAACGAGCGAGGCCTTCTCACGTTCATTGCCTAAAACAAGGCACGAATTGCTGTAAATTCAACGGACATAAGACCTAGGCTTGAATTACAACCTGAGAAGCTTGACAAACATGTGAGTATTACCCAAGATTATTAATCACGGTGGAAAAAGAACCTTAAACTTCGTCAGATGTCTATCAACCTATCGAGCCTCGTGCCAATCTGGTCTTGCTCTGACTCTAAGGAAGGGACTCGTAAGCTAAGGTACCTAAGTAAGAAGGTAAGAAGCAGAGCAGTACTTAGATTGCTTTGAAAAAAAGAAAGCTGCCTCAAAGGCTAGCAGCGCTGGACGTCCTGAGAATTGTGGGCGGCGTGGTCGCATCATTCCTTTCTGATGGACACATGTATAGCAACCGTAGGAGATCTGCTTTACCCGCTGGACTGATCATTTATTCTAGGTCAAGCCTGGCGAGAAACTTATTTGCCACAACCAAGCTCAATACCCATTCCAACAACATCTGCAATCACGGGAGGGAAAATCCAGCCCTTGAAAACTTGAATAATGTCGTCAAGAGCGCCGCAACCTCCCTTGCTCTCCACGGCCTCGGATGAGAACTCAATCAAAATTTCGTTGTTTTGGGTGTTCGATCCGTCAGTGTCGGCAGTGACGTAGATAAGCGCAGGTACTTGGTGTCCGTGTCGAAGTTTATTGCATTTAGCGGACCTTCCCTCTCCAGGACATTTACAAACACGATCCGCGCATGCCGCGCCAAATTTGTTGCAGTTCACGGCAATAGTGTCGGCGCAGCATTCCACGTAAACTTCATATTGGTGTTTTTCGGCGATTCTCTTGACCGTTTCCCAAGCAGCTTCGACCATGGCATCTCGGACTTGAAGGTGCTTGCCGTCGACATCGTTCCACTTGCCGACAATTGATACGGTGACTTTGTGATCCGGGTGATCGTTAAAGTGGCAACGCTTGCTCTGAGTTGAAAATTCTTCATCCTTGATTGATACTTGGTGCAAATTGGTGGGATCCTCATAAATTGCCTTCCAGGTTGTGGCGAAAAGGTCAAGGCTGCCGACTTCGATCAAGCGATCGCTGGTGGAAACATGGATTTTAGCAGCATCAATAGACGGAGCCAGTGCAGCTAACGCAAGTGCCGCCGTGATGAGCTTCATGATCTGTCGTAATGGTCAATTTTGCAACGGCTTAATGACCAGTGCTTGAACTTACGTCTCTTGGTTGAGGAAGTGGTTAATGATGAAGATCTATTGAGAGAGGAGAACGATGATGGTTACAGCGTGACCCAGAACAGCACGTTGGTTGTGTCGCCTTTTATATACAAGTCAGTGGCCTTCGGTAGACGTCTCGTGACGACACTTTTGTCGAAAGACTACGATTCCTTGCAGCAACACGAGTCCTGCCCCCCTGTCGTAGGTCGCCTACAGAGAACCTAATACATACCGTCTGAATTACCGGAAGCACGGCGCGAATCAGACATCCTATGATCGTACATTTGATTTTGTGCGCTCGCAAAGACGTGTCGCTGGCGAATCATGCCTTTCCCCCTTTCCTTTCTCTGTCAAACACGAAAACCTACACTCAAGCTAGGTGGCAGTCTAAACCGTAACGGAGGCTGTGTGAGTGACAGTTACATTGAGTTCTCAGTTGTCGTCGTGGGGGTTAACGAGATGGATCTTTACCCAGGTTCCCCCGGTCATTATTTTCTCTTCGTACCCCAACTCGACCTGCTACTATCGTCAACCTTCCTGAATAGGATATACGATTCAGTGCACTAACTCTGAAAAGAATGTAAACGACGTGACGTGAGCACCCTCTCAGCTCACATGTTCATCGATCTTGTTGTTAGACGATGCTTTACTCCATCTTACCGCTCTTGCTATGATATCTCAACTTCCCATTAGCGAGTAAGGCATACGTAATTCCTTTTCAGGCTACTTCAGGCCGAGCTGCAGTATGGTAGCACTCCTACCACAGAGATCCTTGATCTTCCTCTCGGAAAACTCCGACCTGACCTGCAGCAAGCTGGAAATAGCTGGGCTCCCAAGGACGATGATACTTTTGGGCCATTGTTCAAAGAATGAGTTATCAAAACCCCGCACAGCTCAAAACAGGTGATTCAAACAGGGGCGATTGTGGAAAATGCTAGATCGCGCCAGCCAGTCCTCTTCGGGTCAATGTAGATCAACAATGCTGCTGTAAAGTTTTGAGAGCTCACGCCGGCTGAGTCATTATTCCTGTACAAGAAACCTCTTTAGCACAGCAGTTCTGTCACGGCTAGATAAGTGTGCTGGTGCGCAGATGGGGCTTCATGATGTTCTTACACAACGGCCTGAAATCGATAGTCTTTTTGTCCCAAAAACGGTCATCATTCATCAGATGCAACTCGATAGGGCGAGATACGGAGCAAGCGACTAGCAAGGAAGAACTTGACTCGGGTCTCGCTCCAGTCCTGAGTAATCTAAGCCCACCTCTCTGAGGGAGTAATAGGAAGCTTGCGCTTCCTCGTCCTGCACTGGACGGCAAGTGCCGAAGGGAACAAAACGTCTATGGTGTAGTTGTTGAGGTACGTCCAAAAAATTGACTTTCTACCTCTAAGAAAGTTGTTACGCTGTAACAGTCAGCTTGTGAAGGAAGCCGGCAACTCGATACCTCAAAGTAAGAAAAAGGCATCTTGACTACTCCAGGTCGTCGCCGTCCTATCCGGATACCAACAGCCGCAGACAATAACCCCACCTTTGGTGCCGTTTTGGCGGATTGGAAATTGATGTGAACTTCTCCGCATGCGAAGAGCTGAGATTTACGGCCGGGCTTTGTTGTTGCCCCGTACCTGACTTGGGTGATATCATTAAAATGTCGATTGGTGCCTCGGGAACAAGTTGGTGATCATTTCGCGTTGGGGTTTCCCACGTCGGCAAAGACACACCGGCCGGTTAGGTCGGCGGCAAGTTGCTGACAAGCCGAAGTGGACACGAATCACCTCAGGCCATCTGTTCTAGATTAATGCTCAAGTGGTTCGGCGGCAGCGGCTTCGAGATTTAACTTTGCCGCAAGGGTGTGGTGTGCGGCATCAAGAGCTTGAGCCTATTGGTTTCTCTATTGTTAAGACTCGTTCAAGTTAGAACCTGGATGGACGTTTCCGCATGAGATGGGGTCGAGCAAGAGACTACGCAGCATCCCTCAGTAGGGTTAGCATCCATACCTGGAGATTGTTTTGCCCATGTTTCGAATCAAAGGAATGCTATTGGATGTGACATTCTCTCACTGAATGGAGCCGCCAGATTTCAATCTACATCCGTCGATCTCGACCATCAGCGCAAAGTTTCGTGGGTACTCTCAGCGTGTACCGAGCCCACGATGCCTATCGAAGGTGATCTTTCTATCTCACATTGTAAGCCGGTGTTCAGCACTCATCGAATAGTCAAGAGAATCACAGAGGATAAGGACAAGTGACTCCTCGGCATTGCCAAACCCCTGGCTGAATCAACGAAGAATGTTCATGAAGACGGCGAAAAGAACCCTTGTCAACGGCTCCCACTCCGGGCTCCGACGTTCGCTTTCGCTTTGATCCTGGGCTCTCCGCCTTCTCTGAAACATCGAAAATGGCGTAGTCATGTTTATGCTTTAGAATGACACTACAACATCGCCGACTGGCTTGCCTAATTGAGTCAGAAGATGCAGTCTATTGACACTAATGAGCATGTCTTCGACATTCTCAGCATTGGCTCTTGTCATGTCGCATCCTAGAGTGCCTTGGCTCAGGGATCAGTCCGAAAGACGTAAAACACCTGAGTAACGTCGTCAGTCAGTAGCTTTGAAGCGCCCCAATTGCAAAAAGCATGGGGGACCCATCTTCGGACAGACTGTAACTTGCGAAATCCGAGATGACTGATTCGAATGCTTCGTGTGCACCTGATTAGCGACTCAGTAATTCGCCTATGTCCGCGCGTACCCAGTCATCTCAGTCGTCCTAGGTTGGCTTATCTTATCTGAATACGGTCACATGAGAGCTCGTTTGTGGTTGGGGAAGCTGTCAGCCACCCACCAACCATCTCTTTTCCGAAGGCGCGCCAGACTTGGCTTCATGCGAATTCCCGTATGAAGGAGCTGATGATGCCCAATGTCTAGACGAACGCGATCCACAACTGCCACCCTGTCTAAGCTGACGGAGCCCGCCACGAAGAAGGCCACCCTGGGCTCACGCGCGGCTAAGATCGCCGCAGCGCCTCAGTCTCCACCGATCCGCCTCTTCGACACCGCCGTCGCGTGGGAAACATGGCTCGCCGCGAACCCACAGGACCTCACTGGCGTCTGGCTGCAGATTGCCAAGAAGGCGGCCTCCAAGCCGACCGTCACGTATGATCAGGCTCTCGACACCGCCTTGTGTTACGGCTGGATCGATGGCCAGCGCAAGACCCACGACGCTGAGCACTTCCTCCAGCGCTTCACCCCGCGGCGAAAGAACAGCATGTGGTCCAAGCGCAACGTCGATAAAGTGGCCGTCCTCATCCAGGAGGGCCGAATGCGGGCGCCGGGGCAGGCTGAGATAGACGCCGCAAAAGCAGATGGGCGGTGGGAGCGCGCCTACGCCGGGCCGAGCAGCATGCAGGTGCCAGCGGACTTCCAAGCGGCGCTGCTCAAGAACAGTTCAGCGAAATCGTTCTTTGAGGCACTGAACAAAACGCAGCGGTATCAATTTCTCTGGCGCATCGAAACTACGAGAAGGCCAGAGACGAGACGGCGTAAAATTGACGAATACGTCACGCTATTGGCTGATCGCAAGCTTCTATGAAGCACGTTCTTCCTTTGAGTGTTTCGCCAACAACTACCATTTAGAGTAGGAGAATGGGAGAAAGGTCTTTTTCTTTACTTCATTTGGTTCACGAAGGTACCAATTGCCCATGCGACTGTACTGGCATTGTTGGGCACAACTCCACCCGGCTTTCTGTTTGCTACTTGGGTCGTGTCTACCATTGGTCTTTTACTCCTCCTCGATTACTCTGGGCCTCGCGACTTTGGGAACAAAAGATTCCGCTGCCGTTCCCTTCTGGATCAGCAGGGTCCCGTTCAGACCCTGCATCCCGGCTACTTGTACCACGTCTGGTAAACCTAGAGCATGTGATACCAGCGCAACTTCAATGTAGCATTCAGCACAGCATCCCCAGTGCTCCCGCACGAGCCCATTTCGGCATGATTAATTCGAACTTTGACTGTGTTTTTTGGGTCAAATGCAAGCCCACCGACCATTCTCATATGCCCCCTCATTTGAAAATTCCTCTCCAGCTGGGGTTTTGCCTATTTGCCCGTCGCCAACCGCTGGTTCTGGCACTGCGAATGGTTCCATCTAGGCGAGTGGCACACCAGCGTTGTATCGCGGCTCATTTGGATGAATACATACTGAGACTTCTTCCAGCTGGCACTTTGCACGTCTTGGCTAGCACTACATCCGCCGTATCAATGGACGATTGTTTTTGCCAGTGATACCTTCAACATCCATTCTTTGGCGCCCGCTTTTCGATGCCTGCCTGGCGCGATTCCCAGCTCAAAAGGCACGTCCCAATCTGTATTGCGCTTCATCACACCATGAACCTGCCTTCCCGGGACGTCGTATACGCATACTTCTCCCGATAGTAAGGGTCTCCCGAGTATAAAATCCCTGGTCATGTCGATCGCTCTCCACATTCGTAAAGAAGGACAGCCCCCTTCATCAGATTCTCAGATCTAACCGAAAGCGCCTCTCTTGATACCCCTGATCACACCTTCGCCATGCGCATCTCTATTCTCTTCTACATCCCCACCTTGGTCCTCGCCACTGAGGCCCTGGACAAGGCCAAGATCACCATCAGCAAGGCATCTCATTCTGGCAATGGCTGCCCGCAAGGAACAGTGACGTCCGTAGTGTCGGGCGACAAGACCGCAAGTCCCCGCTATGTAAAATCCCCACCATGAAACACCTACTCACGTGGCCCAGGTCATCACCTTTGGGTTCGACCAGTTCCAGACCTACATAGGGCCCGGCACCTCCTACACCGAGCGCTCCAAGAACTGCCAGCTCCACCTCAACTTGCAGTACCCCGCCGGCTTCAGCTTCGCCGTCGTGGACAGCGTTTACCACGGCTTCGCCCTACTCGACCCGGGCGTCACGGGCAACTTCTTCTCGACCTACTACTTCACCGCCGACGCCGCCAAAACATCGACAACGCAGACGAGCATCCGCGGCGGCGGGCCCTGGGCCGCCGGCCAGGTCTACACCAAGCAGGATATTGTGCCCGCCGGCGACGTCGTGCGGTCCCCGTGCGGGGGGTCGCAGGCCACGCTCAATATCAACAACCGCATCGCGCTCAACAGTGAGAAGCCCGAGGCGTTTGGCATGATTACAAACGACGACGCGACCGTGTCGCTGCAGCAGCAGGTGCATATTGAATGGTACAAGTGCTAGGTGCACGTTTTCTGGTTCTATGCGGCCTCAATGCAGGGGCCCTGAGACTGTTGTCGGCCTTCACTCTCTTTCTGAGCGGTATAATTAATCAAGTCCGATGCATCGTTTTGCTGATACGGATCGATTCGAAATGTGCCGAGATGCCGCCTGTATCGAGATCCTTTGCTCAAATCTAATGTGTACGCATATTAGACAATTTGTGCTAATGCCTCCTGGGCGCTCGTGGTCCGGCTGTTGCGGCTGGACTGCTTGGCCTCCTGTGAACCTCCCCGGGCTGCCTGCCAATACGGGATCTTTTCCAACCGCCTGTCCGGCGGTTCCGGCAGCAGGGTGGAGCTGATAAGCTGTACTCGTTGTTTGGCGGCAAATCCACTGCCAGGAGCTCACCCGCCTGTAACGAGTCGAAACGTGACGATGGAGTCAGTGTTCTGCATGGCCAGTCCATAGTGATTTTCGTCGTTAAATTTTTGAATACCCGAGGCTTCACCCACATCTACCTCAGTTCTTGCACATCGGAGGTTGGAACCCAATACTCCACCGCATCCCACCCATGATGGCCGCCATCAGCGCAAAGGCTGACACGACGCTCACCGACCCGTAGATGTAGGCGTGCCTCCTCCTCAGGGAAGCCAATTCAGCCACCCACGTCGACACTGTCGTCAAGCATCCGCAGAATCCATCATCGATGCCAAGAAGAACCTGGCATCCGACGAGGCCCCCCAGGGGCACATGCAATAAATCCCAACCCATGCCCAGGATCACCGTGCCCAAAATGTTGGCTGAGAATGTGCCGATGGGGAAGGCTTGATTGCGAGGGTTGAGCAGAAGGGAGAGATGATAGCGCACAATGCATCCGAGAGGCGCAAAAACGACGGCGAAGAGAGCTTGGCCGCGCCAGTGCTTGTATGGAGGGAAGACAGCCAGCAGAATGGCACCGAGCCACGAGCTCCAGCCTAGAAGAATGCTGAGCGGGTTTAAATATCTTCGTGTGAATCCGGGAGGAGGCGACGGCGTAAAGGGATGAAGGGCGTTGGCTGCATGGTTTCCTACGATGAGAGCAGACAGCGAGAGGCCTAGTGTGGTGATGAGGACCGCGAGAAGCGCCATGAATGAGTAGCCACCATGCCTTGACAGGGGTGTAGACAGATCTGGAGACGGGAGGTCGTTCGAGGTAGCTAGGAACATATCGCGAATGAAGGATGAGAAGGAGGTGAAAGAACCGCAGAAGCCGGTGGTAAGGCCGACGTAGAGCGGAACGGCCTTCTTCCTCGCCATGTGCGTCTTTCTTGCAGAAGCAGACATTGATGCGAGCTTGGGCTTGGGAGCTGCGTATGTTTCGCGTGAGGGCATCTCCTGCTCGTCAACCGGATCATCCACAGGCGAGTAGAACAACTTCGTGTCCTCAGCCAGGAAGCCGAAGATGAAGCTGCCACCAATGTTGGCCCACAGTACACCAAATGAGACGGGAGCTCCAGGGTAATGGGTCAAGGCCTGTAAGCCAAGTCGAGAGAGCGTACCCCATATCGCAAAAAAGACAAGATACGAGTGCGTGTCGAGCTGTGTTGCCCAGCGAGAAACGTGTTCCTGGCGGTCATCGTATCGACGTGGTTGGCTTGGCGCGACATTGGCGGACGAGCTCATGATCGTGAACCAAGGAAAAAGCGTACAGTGGTATGATCATTGTGCATGAATTCACATTGTTGTACGATGGCAGCAGAGATTGAAAAAGCCTCCGTGCCAACTGATCGAGGGAGAAGTCCCTTTTGAGCTACGCGTACCACGGCAAGCGCGTTCCGCTTGACCGATGCCTACCGAAAGTCATCGGTGTAGGGGAAACTGCCGAGCGACCCCCCTGCACCCCACACGCTGGCAGCTGACCGACTTATCAGTGGAGCATCGGCCACCTCCGCGGGGCCCAAGCTCCCTTATCTGACCGCTTTATCTCCTGCCCCGCAGTCCCGGGGAGGGGCCCGATGGATAAGGGACCTGACCGATGACCTCGTCAGGTACCTGGACCGCCTTACCTTCCCTTTAGGCATCACGCTGGGGAACACGACACGTTTATGTCGATTTACTCTCCTCTCTTCTTCTTCTTCTGCTTCTTCTTCACTCCTCGTACCTTCATTGTTCCAACAGCGACAATTCAACATGGCGTCCTCATCTGAGCTTCCACCCAACGTTCACGTCTCCTCCCACCCCTGCCTTCAGGCGAAGCTCTCGCAACTACGATCCAAGTCAACACCAGCCAAGGATGTCAAGACCATCGTCAATGACATTGCCCTGATCCTCGGCTGCGAAGCCCTCGCAGCTCAACATCACCAGCCAAAAGCCCCCGAGGTGAGGAGGGGGGCCGCCGATCCCCATGGCATCCCGTGTCCCACCCGAGGGTCCCACTAAACCTCCGTCTTTCAGGACCAAACCCCCCTTGGGTTTCACG